CCCTGAAATTTCCATCTGCTGTCAGCCGTCCTGATGCTGCCACCCTTTCATACTGTTCCTCAGGTTGTGGTGACCCCCAACCATAATAGTATTCTCATTGCTATTTTGTAACTGTAAGTTTACTACTGTTAGGAAGCAGGCGACCCCTGCGAAAGGGTCGTGCCACCCTCAAAGGGGTTGCGACCCTCAGGTTGAGAACGGCTGCTTTACAGGAACATACAGCCTCAGTTGTCTTCTGAGGAGCGATTGGTGGATTGGAAATACTGACATTTGGTTAGCAGCCCAATGCTTAACACACTGTACTACCAAATTTGTAACCGTTGGCAGGCTGGTTCTCGTGGCTGCACCACCTCTATGGCTATCACAGTGCTAGAGGGAGGGATATAGGGCTAGGCCGGGGAAAATACCCACAAAATTTGTGCTTTTTTTACCCCATTTATTTGGTAAAAATGGTCTTTGGATTGTTGGAAGCCTTCATTTATTGCTAAAAGTTTTGAAAAAGGTCAATGTTTGACAGTTTTTGCTGGCATTTTTTGACGGAGTTGATTTTAGGAGATTCTTAGTCTTCTGTTCTGGCTGTGCTTTGGGATGCATTTTTTTAAAAATTTTGATTCTTTGTGGACTTATCCCTCCTGTAAAGTATAGTGACATGTCCATGGCAATGTTAGATATACAAGTCTTGAAATGTTTCCTGTGCTTTATGTGAAGGAATTTGTTGTGACCAGGCCACACAGATTAATTGCAGGCCCTACTCAGCATAATCTCCCAAGAATCAGCTCCCTCAGTAAAATTCACATTGCCCTCTCTCTTTTTTCCTTTCTTTTCTTTTCTGAGTGACCCTGGTTATGGACAAAATACCTTAGTAAGGCTTCCAAATACCTAGGCCCCTGCGCCCTCACTCTGACTCTTGGGAGTAGCTGGTTGCAGACGCTGGTAGTGTGGGCTGAGTAGGTTGTGCCTGTCTTTAATGAGTGTGGGCTCTGATGCTGAGAGAGGACCTAGCCCGAGCAAGTGGAGGACTTTGTGACCCAGGCAGGCCACTCTGGGGGAGGTGACACAGAGTGGGCATCTTTGCTGTGACACAGAGTGGGTATCTCAGCAGGTTCTACTGCTTACTCCTAGGTGGTCTCATCTGACTGAAGCTCCCCTTCAGCTTGCTTGTGCCCATGAATATTACCAAGGTCAGGTTTATGGGAATTAAAGGGAATTCAGGTTGATTTGTGACAGTTTTGGTATGTTGAATTGTTGAAATCATTGGCAATTCCCTTGGGCAGTTAGTCGCATTTGGGAATCTCTGGCTTCCAGGTAACACTGGAACAGCAGCCTCAGAGACCACTGTACCACACGTTCAGTCAGCCACTGAGGGAACAAGCAGCTTGTCCCATTCCTTAGTCCATTCCAAAGGCTCTCTGTCTGCATTCGCCATTGTTCGGTGTTGCCGGAGTTCTCCAAGCAGGGGCTGGACTGTCCCTCTCCCTCGGTTACTCCTCCAGCCTCCACAGGATAGTGTGTATGTCTGCATAGATGTTCTGAGCCAAGAGGCTCTTTGTCTAGTTCCAGTTCCCTGGTCTGTCCAGCTTCAGAGTACAGGCTTCCTGCTCTGTCACGGGGACATGCCTCTGACACACCTCTGCCTGATCCAGGAGACAGCAAGGCAGAGAGTACACTTCCCTGCTCAGTACTGCAACCTTTTCCTCCAACATCAGACTCGATTGTGAACTGATTGTTCACAATTAGTGGGAACAAACTGCTTCTTAGGTCCAGGTGCAGGGCTCTGAGGAGGCCCAGCTGGCTGGCTCTTAACTGTCCTTCATGACCTCAGCCTTGTCGCTGGATCCTCATTGTGTCAGGCAGGCCTGTCTTGCCTTGGCAGAAAATGGATATCTAGCAGGGACATGGTCACGGTGGTGTTGCTGGCTGGGACAAGGCAGGCCCACATGCTTTGGGGCGCTTTGGGAAAGCAGAGGGGTCTTTCTAGAAACCACCTTAGAAAGTAGTCTAAGAAAGTACAGGGCTCCCCCTGCTGGTGAGTGCAGGTGGAATGCATGCCAAGTGGGCAGCTTGCAGCCAGACTTGGAAACCCTCTTGGAAAATTTCCTTGAAGGACGGGGATTTTCCTCTGATGCTCCAGAGCTTAGGGGAAGTGGTTTTGCTAATTTAAAATGACAGATGTGCACATGCATTCTATGCTTTCTCCCTGGTTTCCAAGTCCTTTAGGAGAACATAGCTTTGCCTTTGGTGGGGAGTGTATAGTTAATGGACAGGAACTGGCGGACTTTTAACTCTGAAATGCTGTTTTAGGGGGCTGTTTCTGTGCTTGTGGGCGCCCCCTGGAGGTTCTTGGGTTTGAGCAGCTTCTTAGTGGCAGGCTGTGGCTTGTGTGGTGGCTCCTTTTAGTGCCAGTGAAGAGCTGAGAGCCAGTCGTTTACAGGTTGCCAGGGGTGGGGGGATTGGGGCTTGTGTGTGGAAGGGGAGCAGCCGGTTAAGCCATCTGGAGAGGATAAAAAAGAGTTTCTGAAAGGTGGTGGCCACCTGGTCTATGGAGAGGCTGGCCTGGCAGGAGAGCATGTCCCATGGGGGCCAGTGTGTCAGTGCCTCCTCTGTGTCCCTGCCTTGGTTTACTAGCCACCATGGGGAAGGAGAGCCTCAGAAGAAAGACTATGTGGGTAGACGGTCTGTAGGAAAAGGTGAACAAAACACCCTCTCATTTTCTTTAATTTACTTAAAGTTAATGGGCTCGATTTCGTATAAGGTTCCATGGGTTTTGACAAAAGGAGAGTCATTGAGTCACCACCACAAGCAAAGTGCAGAGCAAGTTCTGGCAGCCCCCTTGGAAATCTCTCATACTGCTACCCTTTGAGAGAGGCAAGGAGCTGCCACTTCCATGACGATGACATTTCTAGCCTGTTGGCTGAACAGTCATCACGGCCTTGTCTCTGACAGGTAGTTATGTCCATGCCATCCACCCATGCTGGGTGTATCTGAACCTTCTGCTGACAAGTCAGTTCCACCCGAAGCCATCCTCTAGGACCCTGAGCAGAACTGCTCCAGAGGCCTTCTGAGGCTGTGGAGGGGCTGATGCTTGAACTACTGACCTTGGGATTAGCAGCCCAGTGCTTAACGGTTGAACCTCTCGGGCCCCTTCATAGATGAGTAGGTCATTTTTACTGCTGAGTCATAGCACAGCGCTCCCTGTGGCTGTACTAGCATTTTCACTTGAGTAATAGACACAGCTCATTTCCAGTTTTGAGCATTTTGTGATAAGGCTTTCTTTGTCGCTTGAATTACCTTTGTTCTCCAACCACCACCCCCTCTTAATTAATATATATATCAATTAATATATATATGGGTCTCCATCTGGATCCTGTTCTCTTCCATTAATTTTTTAAAAATCATTTTATTGGGGCTCCCACAACTCTTAACACAAAACATGCACACATCTATTGTGTTAAGCACATTTGTACATTTGTTGCCATCATCATTTTCAAAACATTTTCTTCCTACTTAAGCCCTTGGTATCAGCTCATTTTTTCCCCTCCCTCTCCCACCCTCCTTCCCTCACGAACCCTTGATAATTTATGTTATATTTTCATGTCTTACACTGACCAATATCTCCCATCACCCACCTTTCTGTTGTCCGACCTCCAGAGAGGGGATTATATGTAGATCATTGTGATCGGTTCCCCCTCCCTCCCCCCACCTACCCTTTAACTTCCTGGCTATTGTCTGTTCCTTCACCTATATCACATGGTCTTGAAATTTTTCAGTCTGCATCGACCAACTTTGTTCCTTTAAAATACGTGTACATGAACACATTTGCATAGTTATTGTATCTCCCTTGCCTTGCCATAGATACCTTTTATTTTTTTTAATTAAAAAATGTTTATTGAAGAAACAGAAGAGAACCTTGTAAGGAGTTTCACTGAGCAAAAGGAAGTTTTCACAGAGTGTAAATACAGAGGATCCAGGAACTTTATAAGAAGATTCCGATTGGTTAACATTATGCTTTAGGAGACAGAGATGGTGTCAACACCCCTTTGTACATTTGTTGCTAATTGCAGTTTGAGTCATGTAGCAGCTTATCCTGTGGATGTTTTGAGGGCCACCCAGGGTAAGTCCTCTTCCTGGGAGCATGCTGTGAGAGAGAGAGCAAACATTAAGAGGGGGCTCCTGCTGGCTTTTTGCAGTAGGCAGCTAGCTGGATTTTGAAAGTCAGCTCAGAATGAGCAGTACAACGTTTGTGTGTAGTGGGGTCGGGGGGTGGGGGTATGCAGTCTGGCCCTCATCTTGGGCAGAATAGAATCAGTACATTGTTTTATTAAACCCATTCTGCTGGGCTTTTGATTTTAATGGTGTTTTGAAGAGTTGAATTTGGGGGAGATTCAACATTCTAGCAATATTGAATCATCTTAGTTCATGAACATGGGTAGCTTCTCCTTAACCATCCTGTTCTTCTGTCAGGTGGGTTAGGTTTCAGAGCCAGCCTGAAGCCTGGTCAGACCTGTCCTCCCCACTCTGTGCCTGGACAAACTGGTCTCTGCTGACGGTGGCTCTGCTTTCCGAGAGCGTGGCTGTTTTGTAGCACATGTTTTGTAGCCAACTTCTGTGTTTTACAATCTCATGGTGTTTTCCTCTGAAGGTTACAAACGGCATCCTTTGATCAGAATTCGGTTCAGCAAAGACCCCTGCTGCCCAGTGCCAGGTGGTGGCCCAAGTGCAGCTCTGCACCCTAGGGCTGTCCCTCTCTGGCACATTCAGCTTTGGCTGTCCATGTCCACATCACAGGGGAGCAGGGTATGGTGGGATAGACAGATGGACAGCATGCCAGACAGTGAGGGGTAGAGTATGTTCTTGCCAGCTGTCATCTGTCTAGAAGTGGCAATGGAACAGTGAGAGGAGCAGAGAGCTTCCAAGGGCAAAGCGTCAGCAGCATGGGAACCAAGACCCAGAGGCCAGTATGTGGGCTCCAGCACTCAGGAGCATCTGGCTTTGTTTTGTAGTATTTTAACCACATCAGTATTGAGGACTCTCGGGTCTATGAGCTGACCAGCAAGGCCGGGCTGTTGTCTCCGTATCAGATCCTCCACGAGTGCCTTAAGAGGTGAGTCAGCAGGGGACCTTGCATCCCTGAGGTGAGGGAGCTTCTTTGGATGCTGGGTGTCTGCTTTGCTGTGTGTTTGGGCTCACCATGGCTGGCTGGCTGGCTGGCTGTCACTCTGCGTGTCTGGAAGGCCTACAAAGTGGGCACATTTCCCAGAAGTCACTTCATGGGCCTTTCCCAGAGCAGCCCTTCCCAGGAAGGCCGTTTCTGTTCTCAGCCACCACACAGGTCACATTTTATTGTCTTTGTGCTTCCTTGAAGAAACCATGGAATGGGTGACACGTCCATCAAGTTTGAAGTGGTGCCTGGCAAAAACCAGAAGAGTGAATATGTCATGGCCTGTGGCAAGCACACCGTGCGCGGGTGGTGTAAGGACGCCCCTCCCTCCCTGTGCCCCAGGCAGAGTGGCCGCCATGAACTGGGCATGACGGCAAGCTGGCTGCCACATATGGGGCCACAGGCCCTCCTTGCCGCCATCCCTCAGTGTAGGGCTGCTCTAGAAAGTTCTTGGCCCGTGGCCTCAGCCCTTGAGTCACCATAGCTTGGCCCAGACATGTGCCCATTCACAATGTCTGCCACCTGAGGCATGGCCTCCCTCTCAACCCCCCAGCAGCCAGGGGCTTAGTGGGGATGCCTTGTTTGGCCTTGTGCTCATTTGACATCATTGTAGCTTGTCTGAGCCTCAAAGTGGGGGGGAGGTAGGGTGGGGGTTTCTCCTGCTTTGTGACCTTCAGTTCTCCAGACCTCTTGCAGCTGCTAACCACCTATTCCACAAAACGGTGAAAAGGCGGGGGGAGCTGCATTCAATTATGAGGACCTAGGTGCCCAATGCAGAATAGCGTTCTCCCTCTCCAACTGTACAACGGGGCAGCACCCCTGTCTGGGCTGGTGGGTGTTTGAGGCTGCCCCACTCTGGCTTCTCTTCACAGGTAAGAATAAGAGAGTCGGCAAGCAGTTGGCTTCTCAGAAGATCCTGCAGCTGCTGCACCCCCACGTCAAGAACTGGGGGTCCTTGTTGCGCATGTACGGCCGTGAGAGCAGCAAGATGGTCAAACAGGTAATGGCAGTCTTGCTCAGCTGGCTGCTCTCTGCAGCTCACTGATTGCTTCCTGCCGTGGTGCCCAGGCCCAGAGGCAGAGGGACCGAGTGGAAACTGGCTGTGCACACCTCAGCTTCTGGCCTAGTTCCCTTTCTTGTGTGGTACGTATGAATGTGTTGTGTTTATTGTGGTTGGCACTGTTCAGAAGCTTGTTAATCACAGCCTGCTGGGAGCAGCTGTAGGGCCATCCATGCCTGTCCAGTGGCTGGGCCATGGGGCCTGAAGGCTCTGGTGCCCTGTACTGAGGAGTGTGGGCCTCTTTAGAATTGGGCCTGAAGGAGCTTGGGATGGACCGTAGGCTGGTGCCGCTTCCTTGGTGACAGGCACCATTTACCTTTAACTGAAGACCACAGGTATCTTGTCTCAGTTGCCATTTCTGCTAATTTTAGTTCTGGTAATGTGTGGTGGGTTATGTGTTGGACTGCTAACCGATAAGCTCGTGCTTTAAACCCAACAGCCACTCCACAGAAGCAGATGACTCTTTCTACTCCTATAAGAATGTATAGCCTTGAGAACCCACAGGAGTAGTCTTTCTCCTCAGTTCGTAGGGTTGCTGAGTCAGAAGTGATTTCCTGGCAGTGAGTGAGTTAACTGTTTGTCAAAATCTGATTTCCACCAGTATCATTGTGTTAGGTCTGTGTTTTTGTGATGGGGCGGGAAGTATTAGGGTATTGGGAGGCTGCTTATGCCATCAGGGTTACTGTACCCCAGGAAAGTGGAGGCTAGGTCCGAGGACCAGGTCTGTCAGGAATGTGCTCTGTCCTGCTCTCCTGGGCCTCAGGCAGTAGAGCTGGCACCCAGGAGAGGAGTGTTTTGACTGCCGCCTTTCACCCCCTTTGGGTGAAGGGCACACACCTATTGGGGCCGCAGTGGGCTTCCAGCTACTACAAGATGTGCCAGGGATTCAAAAGCTGGCAGAAAAAAAATTCCACCTTTCAATGTTTTCCACTTTCTGAAGCCCCCTTGTTAAGGAAACTCCATTTATATTTAACTCCGGTCTAGCTTTCTTGGACTCTTCTGAGGTAAAGACCAGAGCACACACACTTGGCTCTGCCTGGGGGGGAAGCGGTCTGTGAAGATGCTGTACGGGAGGGATCCTGTGAGCTGGCCCCCAGAGCCCTGGCGTCCTGCACAGCCAGTGTCCTCCAGTTGGCGTGTCTGTGGGGATGTATGTGTCCCCTCTCCACTCCGTTCTCCTGTTTTCTTTGGTTTGAGGAAGCATTGCTCTCTTGGCTTCGTACATTCGATTATTCTGATCAAGGTGGTTTAACACCAAAGGGCAGAGGACAACTGGCTCTCGGTCTGTACATCGTAGTGGGTGCCAAGCACGCAGCTCCTGGGGTGTGGGGTGGCTGGCTCCTTGAGGCATTCATCCCTGGACAGTATGGCTATCTCCAGGTCTTCTAGCTGAGGGTTGTGGGGGCAGTGCCCACTGACCTCCCCACCCCGTGACCGCCTGGGGCTCTGCTCTAAGTGAGGGTCAGGATATTCGTGGGGGGCACTGTCAGCAGAAGCAGGCAATGACAGGCGTCTGCACTGACCACCCCTGTTAAGGGGAGCAGGTGCAGGTGCTTGCCAGCAGCACCTGGGGGCAGGCCAGCAGACAGCGCAGTGGGCCTTCCAGAGTGAGCAGGCCTCTGTGCACTTGGCAGGAGACCTCAGACAAGAGTGTGATCGAGCTCCAGCAGTATGCCAAGAAGAATAAGCCCAACCTCCACATCCTGAACAAACTGCAGGAGGAAATGAAGAAGCTGGCAGAGGAGAGGGTGAGTGCCCGGAGCCTGAGGCTTGAGACCCACAGCAGCCTCCTGTCAGTGCCAAGAACTCCACCTCTCTCTTCCCCTTTTTCCTTCTGACAGCAGCAGGTTTCCCAGTCTCTGGCATCTGGGAGGGAAATTCCACTCCTATGTTGGTCTGTCGCTGATTCCTTGTGTCCTTAAAGATGTCTCCCCTTGGTCATTCAGATGAAATCGGCTTTTCCTTGAGCCTTTCCTACAGCTTGTCTAGAATGAAAGCAAAGTGCTTTGCTTATAGGGAGCTGGCGGCCATGCCTTCTCTGCAGATGAAGACCAATTCAGGGTAATCATTGTAGTGTGAGGGCACCACACCTGCCCAGGTCCATGTCCTGTAAACTCACTAGCCTGCTCTACACAGTGTAGTGCTGGGCCTTTTTCTTCCTCAGGCCCTCGGCAGTTCTTGACAGATGGTGCCAGACTGTGGTACAGGGAGCCAGTGGTCAAGGGGAAGGTTCTTAAAGCCACCTCTGGTTCACCACCCCAGGAGGAGCACTAGGAACAGAGGACAGGGTGGCTTGTTAGGGCAGTGGCAGTGTCCCCGATGTATAGGCACTGACTGCTTATGACCCTGGAGGCAGTGGGGTGCCTATCTTGGGTTGGGAAAAGGCTGTGGGGCTCAGAGGGCTCTGGGCCTTGGACTGAGGGTAGGCCTGGGCCTCCAGATCCTGGCTGTGGCAAGGAGAGGTGGTGGATGGGAATAGACCCTCATGGGGTGGACTCAGTGCACCCCTACCTTGGCACTGTGGGGCAATGATGCCCCTTGGGCTCAGAAGTACCTCCTAGCCCTGCTTTGCTGGGGTGCTGGGGTCTCCCTCATCTCTTGTTCTTCCAGGAGGAGACCCGGAAGAAGCCTAAGATGACCATTGTGGCGTCCGCTCAGCCTGGTAGCGAGCCCCTGTGCACCGTGGACGTGTGAGGGACACTGGGCTGGGACATGGGGGCCGCCACTGCAGTCACACACCCCTCAGTGCAGTGGCAGTCTCCAGCCTCAGCTCCTCACGCAGCTGGTGTCCAGAAGGGCAGTGGCTCTGGCGCAAGGACAGCTCACTGAGCAGACGGAGGAACTCTCACCCTTGCTCAGGACCTGTTCCCAATCGTGCCATGGTGGGCAATGACAGATGCTGATAAAGTGACACCCACAGCGGGCCTGGCCACCCTTGTCCCCATCTCTCTGAAACCATCATTGCCACCACATCAGTGAGGAGGGGCCACGGCAGCCCTCCTGATGTAAAATGAGCACGAGTTTTACATCATATGTATTCTCCTGAGACTCCCGGACCAGTGGGAGCGCCTTCAGCTTTGTAGCCCCTAGATCAGTGAGCCCTTAACCTCCACTGCCTTGGAGGATTTTTACAAATGTTTCTTGCACACTCAGCTTCATCTGTCCATTTTTAAAACATTTATATTTTACCATTTGGAGAGAGACGTTGGTACATGTGGGAGAATGTATCAACTATAAACGTTTAAGGCATTTTAGCACGTGGATTCCAGATGTTGAAGAAAAGTGGTAACAAAGACCTTCAGGGCAACCCATTTGTGCATTGTACACCAGGCTCCATGCCTGCGTGTTGGATGCCAAGCGTACTGCTGCAGCAAGAGCCCAGGGCCAGACCCCCCACAGGTGGTGTTCATAGTCTGCACCAGGTGGACTAGGGCACCCACAGTGAACCCCTCCTTCTGGCTCATGGGTTGGACAAGGGCTTCTTCAATGACCTGTAAGCTCTGTGCTTCTGTCTGTAGCTGTGAAGGGTCCTGGTGAACCAAAGCTTCTAGCAGTTTCCTGTGAGGCCAGGAGATAGGGCCAGCCTCTTGGAGGGGGTTCTGTGCAACATAGCCCATGGTGATCTGGGTGGCTTCTGCCCTGGTTGTGGGGCTGACCCCATAAATCAAGACTGTCGCAAGAATACTGCCTGCTGTCTCTTTCCTCAAAGCATTTGGGGGCGGGCCAGAACAGCCACCATATCATTTCAAGACCAGGAGTTTGGCAGGTGCCCCGTGCCAGTCCAATGCCCAACACAAGACGACACACTGCCTGGTTCAACTTTTTATTACAGCCCTGTGGGATCCTGCTAGACAAAGCAGGCATGGGTGGGGAGCTGGGGCCTCTAGCCATCCCACTCTTCCCACCCCCAGAATATTGGGTGGGCCTGGCTCCTGCAGTGGGCTTAAGAAGAAGCTTCCTGGGGTGTGCCATCTGTGGGGGAGGAGGTAGGTGGGGGTGATGAGGGAGGGTTCAGGGGTCCTGCACCGTTAGAAGGCTCCACCCTCTCAAACAGGATAAGCATCTCACAGTGTGGGGTTTGTGGGAACAAGTCCACTGCCACAGCCTTGACTGGCCGGAAAGGAGATCCCCTCACCCGGTTAGAAGGGGCACGGCAGAGGCTGGAATGGAGGGGATGTGCATTAGAATCACGGGGCTGATCCAGAGGTCCCTGGGGAAGACCCTGCTCACCCACATGCTGCTACTCACTCCACAAAATTGCCCATGGCCGCCCGGGGATTGCAGGAGACATACAGAAGCCGCTTCAGGTTGGTTGCTCTGCGCATGGCCAGGATCACCTTGGAATCTGAGTGAGGGAGGTGGGGCTGGGTTACTTCAAGGAGGTTTGGACCCTATACCCCACCAAAATGGAGGGTGTTACTCACGTAGCCCAGCACGAGGGGGATCCAGGATAGCCACAATCTGCTGGGGGCCCAGCCGGCTGACCAGGTTGGGCACCAGGTCTTCTGCCCTCCCACAGTGGAACTCCACATTACTGAGCTCTGCAGGATGGCAGGGTGGCACACTCAGCCCAGGGGCCAAACCTCCAGGCCTACCTCCTGTCTGGTAGCTCTGCTCACCATTCATGTGGGCGTTGACTTTTGCATCCTGCACAGCCTCCTGGCAGAGCTCAACCCCAATGACCCTCTTCACTCTCTGAAACAGACGATAGAGCAGGGGTTCTCATCCAATAAGCTTCCCTGGGTGGGTGGGCAACCATGGAACTTCGCTGGGCCTTCACACCAGGCTCCCCCATGGCAGATGATGGTGCTTGGGTGGGGCAGCTCACCCGGGCCAGGGCTAGGCCAATGGTGCCAGTGCCACAACACACGTCCAACACTGTGCTCTCTGCGTCCAGCATGGCCCAGTCCTGGATGGCAGTGTAGAGTACCTCGGCAGCTGGGGTGTTGACCTGTAGGAGCCGTAGCACCCAGACATTAGAGCAGCCCCAGGGCCCTGCACCCCTGGGTCTTCCATATTCCATGGCCCCTGCCTTGGTATATCTCAGTCCATAGGTCCCACTCTACTGGACACCAGGCAATTGGCTTCAGACCTCACCCCTGATTCCTAAAAGGTGTAGGTGTCAGAGTCCCAACAGCTCTGCCTCATCCCCTCAGTGCCACAAAAGAGGCTCTGGACCTGTCTCCAAGTGGGATGCTCATGGCCACCACATCTGTACCCACCTCCTACCCTGTCCCCTATTCTGACAGCAGTGGCAACCTATAAGGGCGCCATCAAATACAAGGCCACCTGGGCATCCCATGATCAGGAGTGAGCTGAGGTCATGAGGGGCTGGCCTTTACCATCCCCTTCAGGTCTGTGTGGACAGCTGGCCAGATGACACAGGGCTTCAAAACTTGGTTGCCATGAAGCTGACACCAACTTGCAGTGACTTGTGTTAGAAGTGAGCTGGGGATTTTAGGGCTAGATTTACAGAAGTAGGTTGCCTGGCCTTTTGCGCGATCTCATAATAGACATGGACCTTCAAGAGACTTTTACCATCTCATAGCCCTTACCTAGCGGCTCCCTTGTTTGAATGTTCTTTGTAAGCTTTCTATAAGAGAGACTCTTAAGGTCTGCTCTGGTTAGCTCCACCCACCCGAGACCACCTCACATCCCCAGGAAGATGGAGTAACCTGGAAGAATGCATAAGGGGAGATCTGGAAGGTCAAGCCCAGCAGGTCCTCATGGATGTACCGGTCCCCAGCCACATGTTCCAATGGCACACCCTCCTGGCTGGGGGTCTTTCTGTGGGTGGGAGTAGACAGGTCAGGGAAAACAGCCTTGGAAGGGCCCACCCTGCCCACTGAGGGCTCCTCACCGCTGTCCCTCCTCCACGAAGTACAGGCAAGTCACACCACTGGCCTTGCCTGGCCCTTCCATGAAATGTTGTGCAAGGGAGGCCTTCAGTTTTGCCAGTTCCTCTTGGCTTAGTTTCTGGAGTGGGTGGCAGAAAAAACCTGGTCAGAAAGGGCTGCTGCGCATCTAGGCTCAGATCACCCTTGGGATGTCTGGGTCCAGGACGCCCTGACCCTTGCAGGGCCACTCCACTTGGTACCTGGGGGTGGAAGTGAGCAATGGCCATGGCCTGACCCCGGCGGCTGGTCCGTACAGTGAGCTGCTTCCAGTGCCCTGCGTATGTCTCCGGGTTGTATGCAGAGTATGGGGTGGACCTGTAAAGTAGAGAGCAGCCCTGAGCCTGAGTGGAGTCCCTGGTTTCTGCTGGCCAATGCTGCCCACCCTGCTTGTCCCCCCAGCCCCCTGCCAGGGCAGGACCCTTTCCTCCCAGCCCAGTCAAGAGTCCTCACCGAATGAACTCCTGGAAAGTTCTCACCACCTGTTTGGTGGCCTCTGGAATGTGCACGGTGTCATACGGTGCTGTCACAGCACATGTCCCGCCCTTGTACCTGCCCAGCCGGCAGCCAACAGTATTGTCCTCCCCGTCGACCCCTACGCCGACCAGAAATTCACATTTGTTCCGATACTCGGTCTGCACGGTGAGAGGGGCAGAGAGTAAGCCATGCCTGACTGGTCATGAATGGGACCCGGGCCTCCCATAGGACTGGCTGTCAATCAGCCCTCAACCTCAAGAGTGATGAGTCAGGGGAGGATACATGAAGCGGGAAGGGGACGCAGGGACTAGACAAGTGGAGCTATGGAAAGCATACAGGATGGGCTGTCCGACCTGCAGGGGTGATGGCTGGACCCCCTCCAGTGGACAGCAGGCCTTGTTGTGCTTGTGCCTCTGTGTGAACAGCCAGGGCAAAAGTGCCCGGTTGGTGCTCGCAATTTCCCTAAGAGAGGAGATTGGGCCACAGTTGGACTCCACCCACTGCCCAGCACCCAGCTTTGCCCAGATCCCTGATGGGTACACCTCACTCCCTGCTGGGCCCCCACATGCATCTGCACAACGCAGAGCCGGGCTCCTGGTGTGTACTCACTTGGCCAACCTTTGCAGCACTTGCTCACACTCTAGCCGCTTCCGCTCCAGCTGTTCGGCATAGGGCACCGTCCAGAGCGGGGTCACCACGTCCGCCACGTGTGGGACCGGCGCGACCTGTGACTCCCCCTCCCCTTCCAGCCGCCGCTTCTTGGCCATGGGGTCTGCTTTGGGCCGGGCCAGGCGCACGCTCAGCGGACGGCCTTTCCACAGGGCACCGTGCAGCACACGCAGGGCCTTGTCACGTTCTGCCGCGCTACGAAAGGTCACAAAAGCGCATGGTGGCTGACCGAAGAGTTTTGTCTTGTGCGGCTGCAGGCCGAATCGGCCCAGGAAGCGGCGGACGTCGCTGAAGCTAGCGTGGCGCGGCACGTTCTGTAGCTCCAGCTTGAAGATCTCCGAGGTGAACAGGTCGTCCCTGATGTAGCCGTAGAGGCCCGGCACCGGCTCCGCAGCCTCGCCCGCCTCCTCCCGGAAGGCTGAAGCTGCGGGGCTGCCCAGGGCACTGCCGCCGTGCTGGCCGTCGCCCTCCATGGGCTCGGGGTCCTATGCGGAGGTTAGCAGGGGCTACTAGTTACCGAGTTCCGCGCTGCGCTCAGCAATTCACCTCCACTTGATCCGGCCCCCAGCCTCGAATCCAGCAACAGTCCCATCCCCTTCCCTCCCCCAACCCCATGTCACCCACTTTCCCGCCCCGATCTCCCTTCGCTTTACCTGGTTATCGAGCGTGTCACTCATTATCCGGTGGCCGCTTTGCTGCCACGTCCTCAGGCCTGGCTTACGGGATACAGTCGGTGAGCGGGAACCACAGCGCGGGCGGGCAAGGGGACTCAAAGCCTCACGTCTCAGGCTTGGGTCTCTGGCGTGGGTCTGCACCGGCTGTCCGCCAGGGGCTCGCGCCGACCCATCTGTTTCGTAGTCAGCTATCCCGTGAGCCAGCGCGAGCCACCGCTGCCCGTCTTATTGTGCTGGCTTCCGCTAACGTCATCACGTCTCGTCGGCGCCGATCCCTCGGAGCGCTACGCGCGTGCGGAGAGTACGCACCTTAGGGCGGAAGTGGACGCAGGGGCCGCCGGGAGTGCGCGCTCCCGGAGCGGGCATGCGCCGCGCGCGTTTTGGCGGGAAGCGCGGGGCGGGCCGGACAATAAGTGTCCTCAGCAGGAGTCAATAAAGCTGCGCAGGTTTTGAATCGCGCCGCGTTTCCCGCCGCCGGGGTCAGGGGTCAGGGTTCGGGTCGTGGGGCGGAGTGAAAAGCGGGCGGGCGGGAGGCGCCGGCGCCAGACGCGGAGGGAAGTAGCGACGGCCAGCTGCTGAGAGGCCACGGAGCCAGCGACGACCGCACCAGTCGCTCCCTCGTCGCCGCCGCCGCACCCCCATGGCGGCCACCAAGGTGGGGCCGGACACGGGCGGGGTCGGGGCGGAGGGAACCGAGGGGCCAGGGCCGCGATCGGCGGCCACGTGGGCGGTCCCGCGCCGTTGTTGCCAACCCCCGCCTGCTTGTGGCCGCGGGGCCTGCGGGGCGCGGGCCTCAGGGGCGCAGACTCAGGACAGCTGGGTGCGCGGCCTGGAGGCCCATGGTGCACTGGGCCTAGGGGCTCTGGGGGCCCCCGAGTGACCTTGGGGCTGCCGGAAGAATCAGACAGGGCTGGAGGGCTCCCATCTCCCGACGGAGCGCTGAGCAGCCCCCCGTGGCGGGAGCTGGGCTCCCGGTGTACTCTGGCGCGGCCCACTTGCGGAATTTCTTGGGATCTCGCACCCCCGTGTCCTATGTCGCTCACGCAGCCCTTCATTCATTCTGTCCTGCCCCGATCTCCCCGAAGTAGGCCTCTGCGAGCGGAAGCTCGGCCCAGGGTGGCTGCGGCTTTGTTGGCCGCCTGTGCCTACGCGGCGGCAGAACCGCAGTGCTGTTGGACAAACCAGAGAAAAGTAGAAAAGGGGTTTTACTTTTTTTCCAGCTTGTGCCTGGGTGCATCTTACGACTTTTTACCTTGCCAAGTCACGTGTTCCGCAAATCCTGAACCTTTGTATTCTAAATTCCTGTAAGTTGTACCTGGTACAATTTATTATTTGTACAACCTTTTTTCCCCTTTCCTAAACATCATCAGAAAGTTTTTTATTGTGAAAAGGAGTCTACGTTGGTTTCAAATTTGAGAACCACTAGGAATAAAAAATAAGAAGTTGACATGGAGTCGATTCTGAGTCATGGCGACTTCATCCGGCTGTGTCAGTGTAAGTGTGCTTCATGGGGCTTTTAAATGCTCTGGGGGAAGCAGCCTTTGCCTCCATGCTCTTATGGGTGGGCTAGAACCTCAGCCTTGTGCTTTGGGTTCATACATGCTTGGGTTTATCCCAAACAAAGAGTAATACACTTAATTACTCTCCTTTAGAGTACCTTCCAAAAAATAAAAAGGGCTTCAAAACTGGCTTCAGAGAGCTCCTGGACCATTTAAATTCGAGGCAGAGAGGTCGGTTCAGAAGGTTTTATGGTAACTGGTTTTGGGGATCCCAAAGGGATCCTTTTAAGAATTTTCTCAAAGAATGTAGGATGATCATGGGCTTATTGGAAAGAAGTTTTAAGAAGATAAACTTAGTGAGAAAAAGGCAATGTATCTGCTCATTCTTAAAGCGTAGCAAGGACTTTCCTGCAAGAATTTCATTTGAAAACCTGACCTCATCCACCTACAGCCCCGAGCTTGCCTCTTCACATCCTTTTGCTTCCCAAATGCAAAGAACCTTGAAAGGGGGCTGTGATTTGAGTCTCAACTGTCTGCTTTTGGGGGGGGAAGAGCTACCTTTTAGACAAGGATAAGCTTAAGTGGAGAACAGGTTGAGTAACAATAGTTCTGTGAGTCCTTTTTTGTTTGTTTCATATTAGTTGTGACTTTTGTAGCAATACTTTATTGTTTACCATTGTATGTTCTAACTGAACGTGATTGTGCCTTCAGTACTTAACGACATACCACCAAGGGGACCAGTCCCTAGAGAAGGACGTTCTGCTTGGTAAATAGAATGGCAGCAAAAAAAGAGGAACGTCTTTGGGAACGGTAGATGGATGCTGTGGCTGCAGTAGCAGTGGACTGAAGCGCAACAACACTTTGGGGACGGGGCAGGTCTGGGGAGTGTTGCGTTCTGTTGCACATGGGTCGCTGGGGAAGCGAGATCACCTTGGTGTGGTTTTTCACCAGCTACAGAATTGCCTCAGCAGGTGGTAGACTGTCCTCTTGGCATTTTTGACTAGTTCGGCTCTTGGTTGCTTTAGCTGCACTATGTGACTAAACGTCCGGCTGCTTTGGTGGTATGCTCCTATTTCCTTACAACGCATGCACAAGCTCTTTTCTTTTGAGATTGGTCACCTTCACTTTCCAAGGCAAGGTAAAATTGCTGGCAATTGTGAATTCAGTTTGAGTAACGTCTCGTTTTGCTTTGCTGTTTTTACCTTTGAGAGGAGAGACCAGCATTCATGTCACATTCTGGGTCTGTTTTTTCTCATAAGAGTGAATATTTCCAACCGGAGAGAAGCCTAAGGGTTACTTTGCTCTCCTAAGAGAGACGTGCACCTCAAGGTCCTCTGTGGTCCTGGCCCATTCTGCTTTGTACAGATAGGCAACAGGTTCGGCGGCATGAGTGGGTTGTGCCCTGGCCATTCAGTTCACGGGAGACTGAGTCTCAGGCACCCCCATCTGTTGGCCTGCCTGCCTTGGGCACCCAAAAAAGGGACTGCAATCTAGCACATCCCTCATAGCAAGGGGGCTTCAAGACAACATGGAATTATATTTCACCACCACCCTGTTGAAGGGTTGCCCCACTGGGTGACTCTAGAGCTCAGTTTTTAGTGCCCATGTCTGGGTGTCAACAGCTCAGGGTTGGTGGGGTGAGGCCCACACTCAGTCTGGAGCCGGGGGTCCGTGGGGGCACCTTGTTCTCTCTGCAGGATTTGCATGAGGATCGGGACACCACCGAAAACATAGATGAGTCTAACCACGACCCCCAGTTCGAGCCGATTGTTTCCCTACCCGAACAAGAAATTAAGACGCTGGAGGAAGATGAAGAAGAGCTTTTTAAAATGTGAGTCAGCACCCAAGACCTCTAGTGGAACCTGGGGTGTTTGAAGGCACGCCAGCGTGCAGGGATTAAGCATAGAGCTGTTCCTCTGGAGATCAGGTGAAACCATCCGCTCCCTCTAAAGATGGACAGTCTCAGAAACCCTGCCGAGCAGTTCTCCATCCTGAGGGTTGCTGTGAGTCACCATTGACTCTGGTGGTAGGTTTGAGGTGTTTTGAATAAAGGGCCTGGGATTTTACCAGGGGGGTCCAGATAGAAATTCACCATTGCCATTAACAAGCCTGCCTGCATTTGATCCAGGTTTACTGGGGCTTGGCCCTCCCTGGGGGTTTGTCACTGATGCTCACTGGGCCTGGGCTCCCCAGCCCCCTTCCTGGACTGAGCGGGGCATCTTTTTGGACCCCTTGGGCAGCTTGACACAGAGGAAGTGTTCCTGCCTGTTTTCAGACCAGGGCTGAGGGTGGAGCAAAGTGATGGGGTGAGCAGCCATCCTGGTGGCTTCCCGAGAAGCCTGCAGCAGGTATGGTTTTAAAGAAAGGCCCGTGGGCCTGACCTCGGGTTGTGATGTATACAGTAGGCCACCCAACAAAGTCTCAGGACCGCCACTTGGGCCAATTGTGACCCACATTCCAAATCACCAGAGCTCATGGGCAGGGAGGCAAGGGAAGAAGGGTGTGTGTAGTTTTTCCCCTTCCAGTTTAGTGAAGCCTCCAAGCCTTAAATCCTTCCCAAGACATACGTCCCTGCCCCTACCTATCAAGCACCCCTGATTGCTTGGCTTTGGAGTGCAGGGAGGAAGCAGAGACCATTGTCACCACCTCAGGACCCCGCCCATTCAAGGATGGGAGCTGGGAGAACCCACCTCCAGACTGAGGAAGGAGAGCACTCGTGCCCCCTGGGTCTCCCAAAATGGTGTGTGTCCTGAAGACTGCCTTGTTAGAGTGCTAGAGTGCTGCCTTGCCCAGAAATGATGCTCCAGCCCTTGGAGGTGATGCCTCACGGGGGGGGGGGGGGGGGTGCTTTCTGCGGGAAGTAAAGACCAACCTGCACGTTGGTCCTCACTCAGGTACAGCCCGCAGGGGCTGTCTAGGCTTGTTCAGGGACCAAAACCCAAACCTGCTGCTGTCCACTGGGTTCCCACTCAGCATCCCTATTCTTGGAGCTGGCGGTCTTTATGGGAGCAGGCAGGCTCACCTTTCTCCTGAGCAGCTAGTTGGTTTGAACCACAAGCCTTGTGGTTAGCAGCCCAGTGCTTAACCCACTGCACTTCATACTCTTGGTAGAGTTGATGTTATGAGCCTACTCTGTCCACAACTCCCCTGGAAGGAACAGCAGAGTAGGAGTGGGGGTGGGGGTGGGGTGGGGAGTTGTTGGGCGTAACCCTGAGGTGAAGGCTCCTGGCAGGTCTCTGGGGGGCCAGGGTGTATATTGTTAAGAAGGCTGCTTGGCAATGGACGGGTGGTGGTATGCCTGGGCAGGAAATTGGAGTACTGGGCCAGAGTGAGTGTGGTGGGTACCCTAGCAGAGGCCGTGTGTATGGTCCGGGTGTCCAGAAAGAGGCAAGCTTTTCTGGCCTGGCCTAGTCTAGCTCACTGGCCCGCTTGTGCCGGTCGTGACCATTGGGGAGAATGTTGCCACTGTGATTACGTTTCTTTTAAATTCTTAACAAATGGAAGATTGTTACAAGTAAAAAGTATTTGGAAACACTGCTAAAGCTAACTTCAGCTGCCCAGTGGGGGTTGAAAGCGGAGGTTTGTGACAACGTGAAGTGAGTCTTGTGATGGTCTTTCTTGCTACTCTTACTCTCTCAGGCGAGCAAAGCTGTACCGTTTTGCCTCGGAGAACGACCTCCCAGAGTGGAAGGAGCGGGGAACGGGCGACGTGAAGCTCCTGAAGCACAAGGAGAAGGGGAGCATCCGCTTGCTCATGCGCAGGGATAAGACTCTGAAGATATGTGCCAACCACTACAGTAGGTGCCAGAGCTGCTGAGCGGAGGGGGTGGGGACCCAGCAGGGAAGCTCTGTGCTGAGTGCCCTGACCCAGGTGTCCAATGGGTGAGGCTCACCTGGGAGACCTAGCTGGTGGTGGAGATATCTGCCTTGGTACTGTAGAGTGTGAATCTCGGAAGTGGTGACTGGCGACCTCAGGGCGCTTTTCTTGGTCCTGTGCGGTCGGTCAGCACCTGCTTTTACTGGACATACTTATGCGCAGGAGGTCCCGGTGGCCAGCTTCCCCAAAGCCTGGGCCAGAGGCAAGTGGTTTTTGGGGTGAGAGTCACAGCTGTCCCTTGGTCCCCTGGGCACATGAGGCCGGGCAGGATGGGGTGGGTGTGGCCAGGGTTCCGCATTCTGAGACCCAGGCCTCTCATGAGGGGCCTCTGGTCCACTGTGGTCTCTGGACAGTGGTGGACTGGTAGTGTCTGAAGGCGCCTGGCTTTTCTTCCTCCTGAGCTCACCTTCCATGGCCGCACTTCCAACCCAGGCTGATGTGGAGCAGCCAGTCAGATGAGGGCGTGGCTGTGCCCAGTGGAGGGGACACCTCCGGTGGTCTCCACAGGATTCACGGTCTTGCCTCTCTCCTCCTCCAGTCACACCGCTGATGGAGCTGAAGCCGAACGCAGGCAGTGACCGAGCCTGGGTCTGGAACACCCATGCCGACTTTGCCGATGAGTGCCCCAAGCCAGAGCTGCTCGCCATCCGGTTTCTAAATGCTGAAAGTACGCTTGGTGGCTGGCGGAAGGTGGGGAGGGGCTTGCTTGGAAGCCAGAAAGTTCGTGGAACAGTGGAATTAGTTGCTGGAGTTTCCCCACCAACTTTTCAAACCTTGGAAATGTGGTTGTTTCAGGGGAAGGGGGTTCAGGATTAGCAGGCAGTGACTTGGCGTGAGGGCAGGCCCAAGTCATGGACTGCCCTCTAAGCACCAGAGACATTCTGACAATCTTGCCAGGACAAGGAAACCAGGCACATTAGCCTCCTAGTCAACCTAACATTTCTTCAGTTCTAGAAATGGAGCCCAGCCTGAGGGACCCCAACCCTTGCCCATGACCTTGGCCAGCTGCACATCTTGTGCATACTCATCTGATGTTCAGGGCTTGGGCTGAGCTCTTCCCAATTCGGGGGTCTTTTCAGATTTCCTATCCTGGTTTCTTAAATGCTGTGCCCAGTGGCCCTGGAGGGACCCGATGGGACAGGCGTGTGGCCTGGTACAGCAACCCAGAGGGCGCTCCTATGGAAAGATGCCCGCTTGGTGGCCCAAGATATCCCGTTTTATCTCCTGTCCAGAGTTATACCGGAATCTCATGGCGGGAGAAAGTTGCCCAGTCTTGGGCGAGTCAGGGAAGGAGGCAGGAGGCAGACAGTCCACTGGACAGTCAAGGTGGGGAAGCCCAACTCACAGTCGGGTAGTCCAGCTTGACCTTAAGGCCCTGAGTGTGAGCCGCACTTCGTCAGACAGGTCCGAATGCACCACCTTCACCAGGACTGCTCAGGACACTAAAGCCCAGTGTCTCTCTTCTCTCTTCAGATGCACAGAAATTCAAAACAAAGTTTGAAGAGTGCAGGAAAGAGATCGAAGAGAGAGAAAAGAAAGGTGACTTGCTGCTGGGGTGGTGGGGACTCCCTGCAGACACACTCTGCCTCCGGCTGCCAACCTCAGCCCGGTGCTTTTTCTGTCTGCCAGAGAACCGCCCGGCTTGCTGCGAGTGTCTTGGCCTATCTGAGGTGGCACAGCTCTCCGGGGACATGTGTGTGTCCAGTGGCCACCTGCTGGGCCTGGGGTGGGGCAGTTGGTGCAGGGAGTGAGGGACGGCACTCAGCTGGAATCCCAGCCTGCATGCAGTGTTTGCTCGGGCCAGGTAGTGGCAGCAAAAAGCGATAGGTTCCTGAGCCTGGGGTGGGGGGTGGGGATTCACCCAGGTATGGTGGATGAAGACGGGCATGTCCTGAAGATATCCTGTCACAATCATGGTAGACAAATGACTTATGAGGAGTTTGTCCCTAGCAGTTTCTGACAGCCTCAGCCTGTGCCACCTATGGCCAGTAGCTCACCAGCCAAGCCTGAGGAAGGCACACGTGGTGACCACACCCTTTCTGTGGCTGGAAATTGAGAGAACCGGCCGGGGAGCCAGAACGGGCTGGTGGCACTGACACCTCGTAGCGGTGCCGTGAGTCCAGCCTGGCCCCGGTCTCAATGCCTGTTTGCTCACGGTGTCTTTCAGCGGGGGCAGGGAAAACGGACGCAGAGAAGGTGGCGGAGAAGCTAGAAGCTCTTTCTGTGAAGGTGGACAGTGAAGAGGCTTCTGGGACCAAGGCACCTGAAGGCGAGGAGGCCAAGGAGAAGGTGGAAGAAAAGCAATAAATGGGCTTATATTATTCCTTCTCCCTTTCTTTTCCTTATTTTTTTAATCCCACCTCCTTTTGAATTTATTTTTATTGTTTTGTTTACAAGGAACTTTATATGAAGCAGTTTGAACTCCCAACATCCAGACTTTTGTTTTTCCTTTGAAATTTTTTGTTTTTGCTCGTCCTCTTGAAGACGATTTCAGAAAATCCATTCCCCAGTCATGAAAATGTACTGTGCTCACTTTTTTTTTCCATAGTGGAAACACTTATTTATAGTTATCAACAATAGAGAATAAAAATGGCATTTGATAACTGCACCGGAGGGGTGGCCTGTGTATGCGTGCTGCCTGGCTCAGGTGCCCAAGTGTTGCCTGGCGGGGCTACAGGCCTGAGTGTGTTTTCCTGGCAGCAAAGGTGGCAGCTTGCAGCTGGTTCCACTGCCCTCAGCAGAGCTGAGGGGCTGGCTTGGGGTGGGGAAGCTAGGGCACTCCTGGTTATTGGGGCTGGGGTGTGTCAAAGTCCCACGCCAGTGGGGCAGCTGGAGCCCAGTGGCAGTAAGTGACCCTTGGGGGACCCAGGTGAACAAGGCAGAACCCATGTGTGCTAGGGAGGCAGGGCCAGCTGGGACTTCAGGCTGCTAAGGAATGGGAGGTTTTCCTGCAGGTGAGACCACCATCCAGTTGATTCCAACTCCTCGTGGTCCTGGGGAACTACTCCTTAGGTCTCCGAGGCTGTCAGTCCATACAGGAGCAGACGAACTTGTCTTTCTCCAGAAGAGCAGCTGATGCTGAATCCATTGCACCACTAAACTAAAAGAAAAAACCAAATTCAACTGCCAGCAAGTTGATTCGAACTCAAGGAGTCTAGGACAGGGTAGAACTTTCCCTCTGGGTTTCTGAGACAGAGTAGAAAGCTTTGTCTACTGACCTTGAGTTTAGCAGCCACATAACCCACTAACACCACCAGGGCTCCTTAACTCCAAAATCAAACTCACTGACCTTGGTGGGCATAGCGGATTGTGTTGGGCTGCTAACCTGGAGGTTAGCTGTTCGAAACCACCATCTGCTTCATGGGAGAAAGATGAGGCTTTTTACTTCTAGAGTGAATTAACCTCAGAAACCCACAGAGGCATTTCGACTCTGTCCTGTAGGGTTGGTATGATAGGCTCTATAGTCTTCCCTCAAACCCATCCCACTGCTGTTGAGTCCATTGTGACCTTACAGATCAGAGGTTGGTCTCCCAAGCATAAATCTTTATGGGAGCAGAAAATCTCATCTTCCCTCAGAACGGCTAAAGGGTTCAAACTACTGACTTGGCAGCAGTTAATAGCCCAACACAGCCCACTACAACACCCAAGTCCCTAATTGACTTGGTTTCTGAAGGACCTCTAATGGTGTCATGGTAATGAATTCAGAAACCACCTTGAGAAAGAGGTATTTTGCCCTATAGAGTCACTGAGTTGGCATCAACTTGGTGGCAATGAGTGAGTAAAAGGGTTTGGTTTCTAAGATCCACTACAAGGGAAGATAGTCTGATTTTTCTCCCAAGGTGCTGCTAGCGGGTTTGTCCAGTGCTTACTGCATAGCAACACCATGTCGAGTTACAGGGCAGTGGGGAGGGACTGTTGCTTATTCTAGAATGGTTTACAGGAAGAGAGGACCCACAGGCCCCTAGTGGCTCAACCGTGGACTTTTACAGGAGGGGGCCTCTGGACAGGGAAGCAGCTTACTGGGATCCTACCCTGGGAGTGTGATGGGCTAAGTAAGAGTTTCTTCTCACTGGGCTTGTGGAAAGGTGCCTGGGGGCTTGGAGCTGATATGTACCAGGCCAGGGTGGAGAGGACAGGACTGAGACCACCATAGGTTGCCGTGATCCTTTGGGTTCACCGTAGTCTGGGACCCAGCTTCTACCGCAAACATTTTTTTACAACTGCTGGGCTGAGGCCTGGTTCTTGGAGGGCCTGCCCTTGACAAAGCTCAAGTGAGGTATGGAGGGATGCCTGGCATGCATGAGTCAGGAATAAACACTGGAATTACATGGTTCTGGTGGCTGAGGAGCAAATGGCCAAGAGGGCAGGCCAGAGGCCTGGGTCCTAGAGCAGTGGGTCCTCAGAGGATTTGGCGGGGTTGAAGGACAGGTGGATGAACCTGTGAGGCGGCCTTTAGGCTGTGGAGGAGGCAGATAGCCCATGTTTCTAGTTTAAGACCAGTGCCCCAAGCAGGACCCCTCCCCTGGCAGAAGGGGCTGCAGTCCAGCAGGCCTGCTGTAGGTGTCTCCATCACCCATGTCCACCCCCACCCCTGTGGGTCCCCACTGCTGCAAGACTGCCAGTCCACCTTAAGCAGGGGAAGGTGGGATTTCCTGTTCTGGGAGGCGGGTGTGCCCTCTGCTTCCCGAGGAGAGTGTACCCACACCTGCCCAGGAATATAAGGGGTCGAGTACTCGGGGAGGCTGGGGTTCCCAAGCACCATCACGTAGCGTAGGCTGGATGTGGTGGCCCCTCCTAGCTGCCCTCGCTGGCCCATCTCAGCTGGGTCGGTCACTAGGGCCAACGAATGTTCAGTGAGTAGTCAGCCCTGGGGATGAACCCTCAGGGGCCCTACAGTCAGTCTCTGCCTATCGCCACCCCTACCAGTGGACCTCACACCCCCACCCCTGCCCCGGTCACCAGGAACCTTCAACCCAGAGAGGTCTCCCCTGCCCAGGAAGGACCCCAGGACACCGGCCAAGTCCAGAAGCAGGGATTCCTGAGAGCTGGAGGGATCCACACTGCCCCCTATGGCGGAGGAAGACCACTAGGGTTCCAGTGGGGGCTGCAAACCCTGTGCGCGTGCGCGGGGTTGGGGGCTTAGGGCGGGGCTTCGTGGGGTGGGGCGGGGCAGGGGGCGGGTGTCCTCACGCGGGTCCGCTGCCGCGCCACCTTAAGGGGCGCGCTGACATCAGCGCGGCGCCGTCGCCGCCGGCCCGTGGGGTGGGATTTCCTCCGCTGCCGCTGCCGCTGCCGCCGCGGGTCCTGCGCCGCATCCAGCCCGCCCGGCCGCCCGGCCCTGGGGAGGGATGCGGCGGCTCCGTGCCCAGGATGCCCCGAAGCCCCGGGACGCGCCTCAAACCCGCCAAGTACATCCCGGTGGCTACAGCCGCTGCGCTGCTGGTGGGCTCCAGCACCCTGTTCTTCGTGTTCACGTGAGTCCACGCCGGGCCCGGCTGGGCACATCCGGGTCGCCGGCAAGGGACAGGGATGGGGGCCACCAGGAATCCCCGCCGTGGGCACTGAAGCTGGGCTGTGACTGCACCCCTCCTAGCGCATCAGAGACACCTCCCAAGGGTGCCAGGCAGGCCCTGGTTGTGGGGCACTGGGCCAGATGGGACAGGGTGTAGAGTGCTGCCCAGGGTGTGGCTCTAGCCCTCTGAACCCTGAGAAGTCTCAGAGGGATGTGGGCGCCCAAGCCACAGACCCTCCCTGCAAGGAGCCTTGGGGTCAGTGCCCAGTTCCACGTAGGTGTGGCCTGGCCCTACCGCCACGTGCCTGTCTCTAGCCGTGGCCTGGGCCCTCTGCTTTCCCTTGGTCTCACTGGAGGGCCCAGGCCAGGCCACACCCAGGGACAGAGATTTGCACAGTCTTGCCCCTGGGCACAGGCACCCAGGGTACAGTGGGTTAGGCACCGTGCAGCCCCAGGCAGCCTTGGAGGTGGAATGTAGCAGCCGCCTTGCAAGAGAGGTGAGGCATGATCCCTGTAAAGGCAGCCCTAAGGGCCAGTGCATTTCCAATGCAGTCACTAGCAGTAGGGATTGACTCAGGGCACTGACAAGTTTGAGTTTTGGGTCCCAGGCCAGGCACTGGGCCACCTTGCAGTCGGACCATGAATGGGCAACAGAGGACAGGTCACCCAGGGCCTCCCTGTCCCCTTGCCCTCCTTCCACAATTGCACTATGGATGGCAGTGGGCTGGCTTACAGTTTAGAGAGCTATGGGGTTGGCAAGGATCCAGCTCCATGGTTGTGGGGTTGCCCTGCCCTAGGCTCCCACAGGCACGAGGAATGGGAGTGGGCTGCAGGCCTACCCTTTCACCCAGCTGAGTCTGAGCGCAGGGCATAGACCAATAACCAAGGTCACTAGAGTTTTGGTGAATGGGGTCTCCAGGGGTCCCTGTTGCCAGGGAGGCATCTGCCCCGCGGTGGTGGCCCTAAGTGGGAAGTCGGCTTGGAGCAAGGCGCCTAGGGCCCTGCTCATTTTCGCAAGAGTGAGTCTGAACTAGGCGTGTGTGGAGGCGGAGAGCCCCTGCCCGCCTGGGTGGGAGTCAAAGTCTGTGAGAATGTGTTTAAAAAAGGCCTGTGTGGATGGGCTTATTTTTGGCTTGGGCAAGCAGGCATTTTTCTTGTCACACAGATGCTGGGGAAGGAGATGGACAGTGGGTGGGTGGCCCTGGGGAGCCTGTTCTGGGGGTTTGGAGGCAAGGAGGTTCCACACAGTTCAGGTCCTGCTCAGGAGACAGGGTAGGGAGTGTGGGAGTCCTGAAGGTGGGTCACTTGGTGGTATTCCCCAGGGACCTAGTTGAGGGAAAAGATGCTGTCTGGTCCTGCAAAGGTCCTCAGTTTCAGAAACTGAGGGGTCGCTATGAAGTGGGCTCCTCATTGTCGGGTTGCTAACCACAAGGTCAGCAGTTCAAATCCACCAGCCACTCCTTGGGAGAAAGATCGGGCTGCCTGCTCCCATAAAGACTGACAACTCCCAAACCCTAGGGGGTAGTTCTAGTCTGTCTTAGAGGGTCATTAGACGTGGGAATCAACCCATGGTGGTAGGTTTTTGGAGTTTGAGTTGGTAAGATGCTGAAGTAGGTGCTTTGTTTTGTTTTGAGATGCGTGCTGACTGCATTTCAGATGGGCATCCTGTTCTGGACCCCCTCCTCCTGGGCTGGCCTTGTCCCCTCCTGGTGCTGTGCCAGGTGTAGCTCTTCCCATGGTTTCAGGTGTTTAAAACACAGCGCGGTGTTGACAGAGGGCCTCGATGTCGCTGCCCTCTCTGAACTTTAGCTGCCCCACATGGTGGCCATGGTGGTTGCTCACATTGGCAGGTGCCTGTTCTGCCCTTACTTTGTTCCTAGAAGCTGGAGTTTGGGTTTGAGGGCACAATGGAGGTTTCATCCTCTACAGAGGCCAGTCTTGCTCCCCACCCCTGGCCCTGCATATGCCAGATTTGACTGGGGCTCACTAATGCCTCGGGGAAGGGGCCCTACCCCAAGGAGGGAGGGTGGGGCCAGGGGTGCAGCAGCTGGCTAGAAAAGCCTCAGGACCTCACACACCCCTTAGTCCAGTGCTCCCCTGGACCCAGACCCCAGCCAGGCCTGTTTCCTAGGCCGCACAGTTCTGATCATGGAGTTGTTAGGGATCCTGACTCACCTCCAACCCTGACCTTGCTGGGTCTCTGAGGCAGCTTGGCTTGCAACAGAGGGGCTCTATTTGGGGCCGCAGGCCAGGCAGATTCAGCAGAGGGCTCCTTTTCATAGGACAGGCCTCTTACCATTCCCGAAAGGTGTTCTCTCTTGTGTCCCTCCCTGCTCCTCAGCCTGGGCTGCTCCTGCCCCTACCCCTTCTGCCCTCAGGGCTTCTACCTGCCCCCTGTCTTCTCTCTGTGCTGTAACAGATATAAGTTGACCCCTGTGGGCAGATTCCTCATGCCCAGGCAAGCAACAGTCCCAGATCACACGAGACAGGGTTCATCTCACTGAGAGTGGGACCAGTAAGGCCTGCAGAGGCTGAGCTGCCAGATGACTGCCCAGAGTCCCCTCCCCACCCTCCTTCTCACCTTCATCCTGGGTGCTGAGGAGGGTTTACATACTCCCAGGCAGGTTTTCAGAAACCTTCCTGAGGTCCTGGGGGTTTGTGTCATCCTAGACCCCAGCTGTCCTGTGCTCTGTGACACACCACCAAGCCAGCCAAATGCCCTGCCCAGCCACCCCACCGAGTCCTCAGCCAAAGGGGGTGCAAACATCTGGGGCCAGGCCAGGGCGGGCTGTCTACTGGATGGTGCGGCTGGTCCCTCCACCCCTTCCCACACTCAAGGACCCCGACAGGCTGCAGTGAGCCACGTGCTGGGGAGAGGCAGGTGTTGTGGGGAAGTGGAACTTGCGTTTGGAAACAAATAAGAGCCCTCCCTGCAGGATGCATTATACTCTGGCCCCTTCCAAGCCACTGTTTCTCCATTTGCCCCAGGCCCTGGGAGGGGTCTAATGGGTTGGGTTGAGCACTGATCCACTGGCCCTGGGCAGCCCCCTGAAGCAAGTGCTGCTCTGAACATGAATGTTGATGAAAAACTTTCCGTGACAACGTCTGATTTGGAAACTTCTGTTCCACATTTAGCTGGGATGTACAGGCCACTCCTACCTCAGAAGGAGGTATCCCCCTGGTGGGGCCAGGGTGGAGGGCCTTGACCTCGGTGGGGCACATGCCTGCGGCACGTGTCCTGGCTTGTGACTCAGAGCCTATGAGCTGGGACAGGTGTGAACCTGCCTATGGCCTGCAGCCTGACTGGTTGGGAAATGGGTGGTGGAAGCCTGCCCCTGCCAGGAAGGCTACAAGAAGCCCAGGGAACTGGTCTCTCTGACCATGTGGCTTCGACAAACTCAAGCACATGGGAACTCTGGGGATGGGATACTCAGAGGCCAGTCCAGCATGAGACAGTCTGTCCCAGAGCAAATGCTGACGGAGCGCCCCCTGGCTGCTGGTGTGCAGAGGGAGCCCAGAGAGGCTGAGGGCTGGACCCAGACTGGGAGCGGCAGAGGGAGGAGGCTGACCTGGGTGTGTGTGTCTGTGAGTGAATGGGGTTGGATGTGCATATACATGTGGCTTGATGTACTTGCATGTTCATGTGTGGGCCTGTGTCATCAGATGCATGCAGGTATTTGCATATATGTGTCTGATCCCCACGTATACACACATGCTTGTGTACACATCCCTCTGTGTGTTCCCAAAAGTGTGTGTGTGTGTGTGTCTTTGCCCAAGCCTGTCCTGAGGCAGCTGAATCCAGGGCCCTGGTGGGGCTATGACCCAGTTCCTGTTATGGGGGTCCCAGGCTTGAAAGTCTGAATATGACACCCCTAGGGAAAGAAGTAGCCCGTGTAGAGGGCAGGGGCATCGGAGAGCCTGGTCCTGGGCCAGGAGGAACGGGTGATGGTAGGTGACAGGGGATGGGGAGCAGTGGCTCAGGTTCCAGCCTACAGGTCCCTCCCCAGAAGCTTCCCATCCTTGCTTAGTGTTAGGTGTCCAGGGTGCACCTGTCCAGGGATTGCCTGGTCACGGTTCAGGCGTACACGTTTTGGTATGGCTGCTGCCCCCACGCCCAGAGGCCATGTCCTCACTGGGGCCCTGCTCGAGCAGGGCCCCAAAATTCAGGCTGCCTAGGCCAGTGAGGAGTCAGATCAATGTGTGTGTGTGGGGTGTGTGTGTGCAGATTTATACTTGGGGCTCAGGCCCACCTGCCTGTTAGGCAAGTGCGCCCACAGCCCTCAGCAGCCCACCTGAGGTTAGGGCCAGGAGGCAGCAAGTGCAGGTTTGAATCCCAGCCCAGGGCTTCTTAGAACCTCTGTTTCTCGTCTGCAAAACTGGGCAAAGACAGCAGCAGGTGGGATGTGCTGAGCAGGCTGACAGGCAGCCTTGTTCCGTGTCCGTGGCAGACGCTTTGTCCCCCAGCTGCCTGTCCGTCATCCTGTTGCCCAGGGCCACCTCCTGCTGCCACCATCTTAAAGGGCTGACCGGGCTGCAGTTCGAGTCTGTGTGGTTCATGCAGCAAGTCCCTCCCAGAGGAACCCACCCAGCCCACTTGCTCTGACCGCCTCTCCCAGTGGGCTCACAGGCCCGCTTTGGGGGCATCAGCTGCCCCACCAAGCCAGTGGCCAAGGCCTGGCCATGCTTATCCTGCCATGGGGTTCTGACATCTTGCTGTCTGGCATAAGGCCAGGGCCCCCAACCGTGCAGTGTTGGTACCCCAGGGCTCAGCCCACAGACCCCACAGCGTGGGAAGACACCTGTTGGTGAGTACTCCGGGAAGCCATGGCAGGCAACAGAGGTAGGTGCTCTGGGTGGAGGCCCGTGTCCTCGCGTGTGTGCTGACCTCCCGGGCTGGGCCCTGGAGAGAGGAAGGCTGGCTCCCGCCCCGCTGGGTGTGCTGCCGTGGGAAGCAGCAGCTTTAAATAGCCTCTTGCTTCCCACTAAAAATAGCGTGTTCTCCTGGAGCCGGGTTGCCCAGACGCAGGGCTGGCTGCCGGCCCATCTAGGCATGGGTGCCTTTGTGGACGGCCTGCGCAGGGCCTGTCCCCATGGCTGCAACTGCAGTGTGGATCCGAGCAGGGGCCAGGTCCCAAGACCCCCCAGTTGCTAAGAGGAGCAGACCTGTTTTGGTTCACAGATAGGCCCTAGCTAGGGGCACAGAGCCTGGGATAGGCCAGGTAGGTGGACTGGGGGACCTACTGTGCAGCCAGGTGCTCTTCCCCAGGGAATTGTGACAGACCAGCCTAGGGGAATCCAGGAAGGCTCCCCAGAAGAGGGCATGCTTTGGAGCCAGGCAATAAGTGGATAGGAGTGGGGACATTGTTTCTGAAAGTCAGGATTGCTGCCTGGAACATGCCGGTAACACACCCTGTGGGGGAGACTAGGGTGGTGCCCCCATTCACTTACCAAACGAGAGGGTGGCAGGGCTCTCAGGGCCCCGTGGGCCCCAGGACCTCCCTGGTGAGGGGCCCTCGCTGCACTGAGGGCGGGTCAGATTGCCCAAGGGGGCACTGACCTAGCCCAGTCGGACCATAGCTCTTGGAGTGTGGGGGCAGGAGGGGCCCTTCCGGGGGTCCATACCAGGGCCTCCACCTCCAGTGATGGGGGTGGGGTGGGCTATGAGGCCCCATCCTGTATGAGGTGACACGCAGGCCAAGTAGCCTTTCTCTAACTGCCATCTTGTAGAGTAGCTGTCGGGGTCAGCCAGACCATGGGGGCCTCTGGACAGCTATGTGGAGCTGATGATGGCCTGGCAGGCCCGGCTGGAGGCCATGTGGTCACCCTAAATCCTTCGCCACCCACACACACAGCATCCACCCACACACAGCATCTCCTGCCCCCCTCAGCTAGGCTTTCTGGCTTGCTGTCAACTGCAGGTGCCCGTGGCTGACTCGCGCCGTGTCCCCGGCGGTCCCTGTCTACAATGGTATCATCTTCCTCTTCGTCCTGGCCAACTTCAGCATGGCCACCTTCATGGACCCCGGAGTCTTCCCACGAGGTAGGGCTCCGCTGGAGGAGAGCCCTTGGGTGCGGGGCTGGTGGTGATGGGAGAGAAGCCCCCTTCCCCAGGAAGTGACCTGCTGCCCTCTCTGCCCCCCTCACCAGCGGACGAGGACGAGGACAAGGAAGATGACTTCCGGGCCCCGCTCTACAAGAACGTGGATGTGCGGGGCATCCAGGTCCGCCTGAAATGGTGCGCCACCTGCCACTTCTACCGCCCGCCCCGCTGCTCCCACTGCAGCGTCTGCGACAACTGCGTTGAGGTGACCGTCTGCCTAGCTGCCCCCTGGCCCACGACTCCCACCTGCTGTCCGTGCCGTCGCCCCCCCCCACCCCCACCAACCCCCCTCCATTCCCCACCCCTCTGACACACTGCACCCCGTCAGGACTTTGACCACCACTGCCCGTGGGTCAACAACTGCATTGGACGCCGCAACTACCGCTACTTCTTCCTGTTCCTGCTCTCGCTCAGCGCGCACATGGTGGGCGTGGTCGCCTTCGGCCTGGTCTACGTGCTGAACCACGCCGAGGGGCTGGGGGCCGCCCACACCACCATCACGTATCCTCTGCTCCAGTGGGCTCAGAGGGGCTGGATCATCTGTCCCGGGGGTCCCGAGGTGGGGGGGCTGGCAGGGGCCTGGGTTTGTCTGTAGGCAGCAGCACTGCCCCAACCTCAAGGGGACCTGCCACACCCTCCCAAAGCGGCTGGCCTTAACAGGCCAGAATGGCCGTCATGTGCGTGGCCGGCCTCTTCTTCATCCCGGTCATCGGTCTCACCGGCTTCCACGTGGTGCTGGTTACTCGGGGGCGCACCACCAACGAGCAGGTGTAGTCCCCAGGCGAGGCCGGGATGGAATGGGTGGGGAGGGCGCCCAGGGACTGCCCACCTTGTACAGCTGAGATGGGGGTGTCTTCTGCCCTGGGGACCCTCGAGTGCAAGCCTGGCCAGTGCCTGGGGCCCTGATGTCTCTGGATGCTGTGGCCACAGCGATTTCAGTCTGAAAATACTGCAGCTAGCTGGCTGGGGTGCCCTTGTATCCCTACCCACCCGCCCACTCCCTGCCTTCTCCTCTTTGCCCTGACCTTGGCCCTGGGTAGCCAGGTCAGCTGAGGCGACCCTGTGTCTGCAGGTGACGGGGAAGTTCCGAGGGGGTGTGAACCCCTTCACCCGTGGCTGTTTCGGGAATGTGGAGCATGTGCTCTGCAGCCCTCTGGCGCCCCGGTGAGACCCCCGGCGAGCAGGGTGGCTTTGGGTGGCCGGGCCGGCCCCGTCCTTCATCCCTGCGGTGTGTGCAGAGGCTACTGAGCCCTGGCCTGGCCCTTGCAGCTACGTGGTGGAGCCACCCCGAGCGCCACTCTCTGTGAGCTTGAAGCCACCCTTCCTGAAGCCAGAGCTACTGGAGCGAGGCACCACACTCAAGATCAAGCTGAGCGACAACGGGCTAAAGGCCAGCCTGGGCCGCAGCAAGGTGAGGGCCTGGGCAACAGCTAACCTGAAGACTGGCTCTGGAGCCCACCCAGAGGCACCCCAGAGGCAAATGGGCCTGACCCCGCGCCCCCAAGGTCACAGCCTGCAACCCCAGGGAGGCACTTTTGCTCTGTACACAAGGGGGACCATGAACCCGAATTGGCCTGATGGCAACAAACACTGGGAGGCAGGGTGAGGGTGGGGGGCTGGGTGGATCCTGGGAAGGAGACCCTAGTTAAACTGCACCCTGCATTCACACCATGCTCATCTCTGCCACTCCCCTAGTCCAAAGTCAACCTGGACCAACTGGATGAGAAGCCATTGGGCCTGGGGCCGCCACTGCCCCCAAAGGTGGAGGCGGGTTCCTTCAGCAGCGACCTGCAGGCCACCCGCCGGGGCAGTGCTGGTAACGTGGGGGCGGCCTGATGGGCATGGTGTGTGTGTGTGTGTGTGTGTGTGTGTGTGTGTGTGTGTGTGAGACCAGTACAACTCCAGTCTGATCACTGCCCATCTGCGCAGAGAGCGCCTTGTCTGCACAGGGAGCCAGCCCCCCGACACCTGCTATGTACAAGTTCCGACCTGCCTTCTCCACGGCTCCCACGGCGCCTTTTTGTGGCCAGAGCGAGCAGGTGAGGAGGTGCCTTCCTCTCACAGGGAGCATGCTTTGGGGTACCAGCTGGGCTGTGCTCAATGGGGAACACAGCCCTGGTGCTCCTGGACCCCTACCCCCCACCCCCATCAGGGAGCATGCCTTGGGCACCTGCTGGTCCCTGCCTGGGGAGGAGGTGGCTGGAGCTGGCCTGGCCCTCCGAGAACACTGACTACAGGCCCGTAAGCTGCCACCACGTGCCCCTGAGCTGCACCGGATGCCAGAAATTCCATGCTCAACCACTCCGTAAGGCCCACGGGAGACTCTAAAAGAATTTGGAGTTTGTTTGGGAAAGAGCATTTCTTTATCCTGAGCCCTGCACCCTGCGCGGGTGTGATACAGTGGTCAGCCCCTGGGGACCCTGAAGGATCTCCAGCTCTGCACGCCCCCTCCTCTCAGAGCCACTGGCCAGCCCCTCTCTTGGGAATCACTTTCCTGTCACCTCCTTTCTAGGGTTTTTCCTGGAGCCTATGGAGGACGGCCAAGTGCGCTGAGGCCATGCTGGCCCACTCCCCACCATGCTCTCCTGTCTTTATCCCCTCCCAGCCACTGAGAGCCAAGGGTCTAGGACTGTCATCAGCACCAGAGTGGAACTAGGGAACCAGGGTGTCCTGTTGGCCCTGCCCCCACACCCCAAACTCTGGCCTGAGGGCTGGCTACAGGCCTGGGCCGCAGTCCTTGCAGGGTCCCTGGCCAGCAGATGTCACGTGTGGCAAGGGTTAGCCTTGCTCCTCAAAGCCCATCCTGAGTGCATGGCCAGGGTGCCACTCGGCCTCCACAGCCGTGACAGAGCCTGTCCTGTGCCCTCTGCCTTGTCCTAGCTGTCTTGAGCCCGGAGAGGTAGCCCTGGACAGTCTAGGGTGTTTCTGGAGGCAGCCAAGTGGTGTCCTTGCCACCACAGTTCATGTGGCCAGGACCACAGCCACCACATGGTCAAAGGGAATGGGGACTTCCCTGTCGTCCACGGCCCCGAGAATGGCAGGTGGGCAGTGGGTAGATGTGTGTCCCCTTCTCCCTTGCAGGTCCCAGGGCCGGACTCCTTGACACTGGGCGATGACAGCATCCATAGCATGGACTTTGCGTCGGAGCCGAGCCTGGACCTCCCTGACTACACACCTGGTGGGCTGCATGCTGCCTACCCGCCGTCCCCGCCGCTCAGTGCCGCCAGTGCCTTCCAGGGCGCCTTGCGTACTCTGAGCCTCAAGGCTGTGGGACGGCGGGGTGGGGACCACGTGGCCCTGCAGCCCCTGCGCTCTGAGGGTGGCCCCACCCCACCCCACCGTGGCCTCTTTGCCCCCCACGCACTGCCCAACCGCAATGGCAGCCTCTCCTATGACAGCCTGCTCAACCCCGGCTCGCCCGGAGGCCACCCGTGCCCAGCCCATCCCTCTGCCAGCGTGACTAGCTACCGTTCACCCTATCTGTACCCGGGGGCTGCTGGTGAGCCACCTCGGCCCCCAGCCCGCAGCTTCAGCCCTGTGCTGGGCCCGAGGCCCCGGGAGCCCTCACCCGTCCGCTACGACAACCTCTCCAGGGCCATCATGGCCTCCATCCAGGAGCGCAAGGACAGAGAGGAGCGAGAGAGGCTGCTGCTCTCCCAGGCCGACTCACTCTTTGGGGACTCGGGCGTCTATGAGGCACCCAGCGCCTACAGCCTGCAGCAGGCCAGTGCGCTGCTGGCCGAGGGCTCCCGGGCTGCCCCGAGGCACTACAGCTCCAGGGATGACCTGGTGTCGGGGCCTGGCTTTGGGGGAGCTCGCAACCCCGCTCTGCAGACCTCACTGTCCTCACTGTCCAGCACAATGAGCCGGGCGCCCAGGACCTCGTCCTCCTCCTTGCAGGCAGAGCTGGCCAACAGCCACGTCCCGGGGCCCCGGCCGGGCAGTGGCCCCCACAGGTCACCTGCACGCCACGGACCGCCATCCCCACCCAGTACCCCACGCTCGCCCTCCTACATGGGCCCCAAAGCTGTTTCTTTCATCCACACGGATCTGTCGGAGACGCCAGCCTCGCTGGCCATGCAGAGGTGGGTATGTGGGGAACCTGCTTCTGGGCACAAGGATGGGGCTGGGCCCCTGTGGCTCTCTGACTCAGCCCTTGGGGGTGGGCTGAGGAGGCCCACTGCTGCCTCTGGGAATGGTATGGGGGCAAGGGCAGCCCGTGTTGTGCTCAGGAGGCAGCCCTGCTTCGGGAGCTGGCCTGTGGAGGTGGGACTGTGGGCCATCCCCTCTGGACAACCACCCAGGCAGCATGTCCCCACACACATCTAGCAGCCAAGTGGGGGGTAGACTGTTGCTGGAGCATGCAGGCCCCACTCACAGATGAGAAAACAGGCAGGGAGAGGCCTCCCCCTGAGGGGATGCTGGCTCGGCCACCTGCAGTGTCAGGACTGCCTGGTGGTTCCATCCGCCTGCCTGCCTGGTGTCCTGAAGGCAGGCGGAGAGGAAGACTGACTAGGCAGCCGCAGGGTTCTCGGAGGCCCCTTGGGTTGGGAGATAGTTGGGAAGCACTGAACAGGCTGGGCAGGCTGGAGGACACACTCCCAACTTCCCAGGCGGGGTCCCGTGACCATTCTGCTCCTCTCAGGTCTGGTTTCTGTGGACTCGGGCCTGACTGTACTCCCAGGGGCTGTAGCCCAGGGCAGGGAATGGCCAGGGCATACCGAGCCTGTGGTCCATGTCTGCATCCGTTTGGCGTCCTGTGACCTCCTGTCCACCTGTCCCTGCTGTGTCCTCACTGTATGCTCGTGTGTGTATGCTTGTTTTGATGCAGGGACCACCCTCAGCTGAAGACCCCCCCAAGTAAGCTTAATGGGCAGTCCCCAGGCCTGGCTCGACTGGGGCCTACTGCTGGCTCTCCAGGGCCCTCCACCAGCCCTGCCCGACACACGCTCGTTAAGAAGGTGTCTGGCGTAGGGGGGACCACGTATGAGATCTCCGTGTGAGGACTGCCTGCCACCAGCCCGCGGGGCCACACCCTCAACTTCTCTGCCCTCTCCTGGTGTGGACACGTCATAGGCGGCTCTCCACCCCCACCCCGCCCACCTTGCCTGTCTGTTTGTCTAACTGCTCATCAGGGAAGGCCAGACAGGCTCGGCTGGGCCTGGGGCTGCCACCTGGCCCGTCCACAGGCCCTGCCCTGGGCCTGTAGCCCCTCCATCCTCCAGGCTCAGCCCTGATGCTGTCAGGTGTCCCCCGAGACCATCACCAGGCTACTTCCCAAGAGTCTCTCAGTCCGGCCCACTCCCCTCACAAATGGCTCAGAGAGGGACGGCGGAGAGCTTGGGCTACACCCCCACCCTGTGGCCCCCACATGCCTGGGCTGCCCCAACACGTTGCCTTTTGTGGAACCGGCCAGAGATGTGGAGCCTGGCCGGCCGCTGCTCTGCAGATGGCTCCGCCCCAGTCCTCAGCCAGCCGGCACGGCACTGGCTTCTGTGGGTGGGCAGACGGACAGACAGAGAGACAGCTAGCTTTGGCGGGGGTCCCCGCTCTGTGTGTCCCTGTGTCTGTGTTGAGCTGCTGCGCTGCCCCCACCTGCTGCCGGGAAACGCATCCGTTTAAGCCTTAACCTCTCCCTATGTGCTTGTGGGAGGTGGTGGGGGTGGCGGTGGGGCAGATGAGCAAAAGCTCAGGGGGCTGACACAGTCCCCAGGCCCCTAAGACCAGGAATCCCACTCTACCCCTCCTGCCCTTCCTGCCAAACTGGACAATTCCCACCCCACGGCATGCCAAGTCCCTGGGCCCTGGCCCCCTCAGAGCCGTGGGCACCCGCTGTGGGAAGCACGTGGGGGTGCAGAACTGAGCGCTTCCTGGGCGTCAGGGCCCTAGAGTAAGCACATGACAGCGTCTGCTCGCCTTGTGTTTGTTTTATGTTTTTATATCTACATCTATACATCTATAATTTTATTAAAAAAAGAAAAAGAGTCCTCTGGATGTTTTCATCGGGCAAGGCCAGGTTGTGGCGTGACTCAGGGTCCCTGGTATGGAGGGACCCCCAAAGAGGGGGCCAACATGAGGGCGTTTCGCCCCGTCACCCAGCTTGGTGTCATGCCTGGTGTCTCAGGATATTTGGAGAAGGGCTGGGTTGTGGCCTCTCTGAGGAGGGTGCTGTAGGCTGGGGGTGGGGTGGGAGGAGCTACCAGTTGGCTCAGGGCCCTGTGGAGGACCATCCACACCCTGCAGCCACTCCTTGCTGGGGATGGTTCCTAGCCTACCCTTCTGCCTGGTAATCTTCATAGGGAGGGGAAGGGGCAGCAGGAAGCCACTATTTCTGAGCTGAGGCAACTGAGGGGGGCGGGGGATGTTGCACCCCATACGCCTCAGGTCCTGCAGGCATGTGGGGGGAGGGTTGGGAGAGATTTTCCTGGGGTCTTTATCCCCTTTGTCCCCACACTGACCTTCATCTTTCTACTTCTTTCTCATGGGACTTCACGGCCCACAGGGGGAGGATCGGCGTCTGCAGCCGTGGATGGGGGTGGCGAGGCCAGCCCAGGGGGCCCCCTGGCTTGCATCTGTGCCACCTGGGCCACCACGAGGACCGAGCCCCACTCCGGG